AAAAAGATAACTTTTATGATGGTACTGATGTACATTTAAGCGTTGCTGTGGTGTGAAGTGGTTGTGTTCACATGCCATGGTGTCTATGAGGAAAAAATATATATATTTTAGGTCTTTATTGAGAAAGAGCTTGTGGTACTGGATATTTAAACAAATACTTTAAAATCTACCCCTTGTAAAAATTGTATCTGCATATTATTGAATTTTATCATAAAGATCATTCACATGTTTTGAAATAAAACATTTATATACTTATTTTCTTGTATAATCTCATATTTCTTAGTGTGAACTGCAAAGAAGCTGTCCCCAAGCTACTTTGACATCCTTGGATTATTTAAGAATATTCCTCTAGGTGAGCACAGACTGTCCAATTCATTGTGGTACATTTAGCCCTTGTCTCGCCCATTTAAAGCCGTGAATTCACTCATTTCATTGCATATTTGTATGGTCATCTCATCAAAGGTTGTTTTAATGATTTTTTTCAGATAGAAATCCATCCCATATTGTCAAGGCCACTTCATACGTGAGTACAAAATCACACATTTACCACAAATTACTCTGTGATAACAGCCAAGTGTACCGATGGGAAATGTGTTAAATGCATATTTAACTGCAGCTGAGCCGAATGTGCAAGATCACGGCTATTTCAAACTCTCAGTTCCCCATGAGTGTTGAAACAGAGCATCTGCCCCACTAGCTATTATACTGGATGAGCTGTAATTGGTAACAGGTGTTAGGGGCGCATACTTCAGATATTTCAGTAAATGGAAACCTCGCCATTCGGCTAAGATTTTTTGATTTTTTTAAAGAAAGTAAATGGGTTTTAATTAATTATCTAATGCGAAGTCAACTGAGAAAACCCAAAGAGAGCAGGATTTTTGTATCTTTGGATATAGACCACAACACCTGTTACCTCTGAACAAGTATTGCTCAAATGTGTGTCTGCTCTGATTAGCACTGGTAAGAATCACAAGGGCCTTGACCGATCTGCATTTGTTTTGGCGGGGGGGGGGGGGGGCACTGCTGTTGTTGTCTGCTATCACAAGGGTTTTACAAATAGGCAGCTTGCACCTTTATAGTATATACAGTCTATGCTTCACCGTACCACTTGGGTCCCCGGCTGAAAAACGGAGTCTTGTTTATAAGCTCTAGCACCTGTATAATGCATCTTCAAAGGGGGGAAGTCTGTGCTCCACGCTAATGCTTTAAGGAGCACTGTGTTGCATGATAAAGCTGTAGTATTACCTTGAGAAGATGTAGCAGCTCAGAAACTAAGTCAACTACAAAGAACTGCAAATATCTCATAGCTCAAACATGTAAAACAAATTGACACAATAGGACTGTACAGTTTAATACAATTCAGAATGCATGAGCTGTATCTGTCTTTGATTAGTTAATCTACACCCACTGTAGCAAAGTGTTACCGTAGAGTGCTTTTGAGAGTAATTGATTTGTGACTTGTGGCTGATTATGGTGTTTATCTTGTCAGGAAATTGATATACTTTACTTAGGTCACATTTTAAATTATGAAATCCATGACATAGTTATATCTGCTATAATCTGTATTAGAAACAATTACAATCAATGTAAAATGTGGGATTTCAGCAGAGTAGTAAGGTTTGAATGTGTTCTTGGTTGATTTAGGCACAGATCCAGAGACGTCACTTTGAAATGTCTTAGTTTCTGAGGCCACTTGGGAGGAGGTGTAAGCACTGCTACTCCACCTGAGGGTGTAATGGTGTTGTTTAACTTATCATGTAATGGCAGCGTTCAACCACAAAGAGGCACTTGAACCTAACATGAGTGTAGGGTGTGGAGTGAACATACCTGCAGAGAATCACATTAGGGATATTTCACTGTGTGTGAAGGATTTCCAATCCCTGTATAGGTAGTGAGGTGTGTGTGTGTGTGTGTGTGTGTGTGTGTGTGTGTGTGTGTGTGTGTGTGTGTGTGTGTGTGTGTGTGTGTGTGTGTGTGTGTGTGTGTGTGTGTGTGTGTGTGTGTGTGTGTGTGTGTGTGTGTGTGTGTGTGTGTGTGTGTGTGTGTGTGTGTGTGTGTGTGTGTGTGTGTGTGTGTTGCCCTCGTGTCAGTCACACTTCAGTCACCCCATGTAGCAGTGGCCTAGATAACATGGCAGAGTAAATCACGTTTCACATTTCATCTGTATTGATCTTATATATTCTTGTGTTTCACATCACAGTGGAATGTTTTCTTAACCATATAATCATTGTAACATTAATACTCCTTTAAGATAGCATTTACTATCTAACACTGAAAATTGAGAGCTTAAATTAAATGTGACACTTTGTGAGGGAGAGGAAAAATTGATACTGCAGAACATAATTCTTCAATACAGATGAGAGCTAACAGTGTGTGGGTTGTTTGAAGAGGATTAGTGAGAGATAGGTAGCATGCAGATGATTTAGTGCTGGTGCATTGACTAGACTGTATAAAGTGAAGATAATCGCACAGTTATGGATCCGATCGATCACATGTTCTCTGCACTGGACATGGCTGGATTCTCCTTGTTGTAATAAAATAAACAATGGGCTCTTTGTCAGCTTTGTGCACACAATGGGTTGTTAAAAAAAAATCAATCAGAATCCAATTTCAGAATCGTGTGGGCTAGGTGGACGAGTGTGTGGACGTGCAGAGATGCTTTCATGCAACACATGTGAGGTGTGTGCTCAGCCTGTTAGTCTGCATTAGCTAAATGTGTGCAGTATGTGTGAACCTGCATGAATGCCTACCTGCATTAGCCATGCACATGTGGTTGTCTGCCTGTGATTTTGCACATATCTGAGATGGTCGTCATTTAGCTCAGACTAGTAATTGGGTCACATGTGTGAACAGCAATGGAGAAGAATTCTAATCAAACTTAAGAATCCCCAACGCGCATCCCTCCGGCAATCAATTATCATCCAACTAGTGCTGATAATGCACTAATTCTGAATTAAAGAAAATACAATGGTGGCGATTTCTGCATCTCAGAGGTACTGTGACCAAATCCACCATGTTGAGAGGCGTTTGAGTATACTCTGTGGGAAGCAGAGGACAGTGTGCATCCACCTCCACCTCACATGTCTATCTCTCTCCCTCTCTATAACGCTTTGTCTAGTAGGTAAATAGGATCCAGACCCTGTGAGTGATGAGTTTATTAGCTCCTGCCAGCTGTGACCAATCCTTGGGTGTTGAGATGGTGGCGGTGTGTGTGTGTGTGTGTGTGTGTGTGTGTGTGTGTGTGTGTGTGTTGTGTGTGTGTTGTGTGTGTGTGTGTGTGTGTGTGTGTGTGTGTGTGTGTGTGTGTGTGTGTGTGTGTGTGTGTGTGTGTGTGTGTGTGTGTGTGTGTGTGTGTGTGTGTGTGTGTGTGTGTGAGATGCTGTCGGGGTGGGGGCCCTGGGTAGGGAATGAGAAGGGGAGTCAAGAGACGAGGGAGTAGAACCATGAGAACCAGAGAAACTCCCTGGCAACCGGAGACTGGATCAACACTAAATGGAGCGCCCCCCATTCATCTAGCAGTGAGCAGCGATACAGAGCCAAATGACAGAGATTGAGGGAGAGGGAGGGAGAGGGAGAGGGAGGTTGGGGGTGTAGGTGCTTCTGTCTGAAAATCTATGAATGAGTGCAAAACCCTTGCAGGCTGGTCAGCAGGCTACTTCCTCCTGCTCTGCACACTCTAAAATGTGCATACACTGTAAATAAAATACAAGTGTCCCTCCCTGACTATGTTTCAACAATGATTGGCATAAGAGATTATTTAGGGATGGAGACAAACACGTGGGTATTGAATAGATTTGTAAATTCAGTTTTAAGCTCCATTAAGAACTGATACATGTGGGAGCAGAGGATGTAGATCTCCAACAGAGAACACCTTCAGCAACCACAAAAGTGCACGTGTAAAAACAAATGGCGGTTCTAGACCGATTTTCTGGTCAGTTATTGAATGAGAGGGACTGTATTGCTGGATAAGGGAGACAAAGACAGTGTTCAAGATTTAAACGTTTCCAGTTAAGTGGTGGAGTAAGTATAAAGTCATAGCATGTCAATGACTTAGTTAGAATTGTATTTGGTTACTTACTTAACCATTAACCTAAATGCAGTTTGGGGTAATAAATACATTATTTATGCAGCCACACATTGTTTTTTACTGTATCTCTTAATATGTTGGTTTCATTTCATTTCAAACCTTTATTTATCCAGGTGTATCAACTGTATTTATTGGTGTTTGTTTTAGTAACAGAACTTGTTTCAGTAACTTAGTTTCTATTTGTTTAATTACTGAAAAAAAATAACACATTTCTGTTCACTTTGGCCCAGGTTACAGCACAGCAGTGGCTGCATCACAATGTGCATTATCATAGAGTCATTCTTTTGGAGGGGGGACCCAACACAGTGTTACAGTGGCACATGGCACATGCAGCTCTCTTTTTGATGCTAATTGTCGCAATGTCATTCGCGATGAGTCAGGAGCGCAGAGGTGTGTGTGAAATTGAATGTGATTCACAATTTGGATGTGGTGCTATTGAACGCGTGTCCACCACCAGCTCCTCGTGGGGAATCCAGATGCAGCACAGTGGCCAGACGCCTGCCGGCCACACCCTTTTAGAGTCAACAAAGGCGGGGACATGGGAGCCAGCATGCATTAAATGACAAAGAAGTTGAGGGTCAAACAAACGAATCTGATGGCATTTAGTGAACCAAGAGGCGTATCTGATGTGTGCGCCTAATATTATAATTACAATGAAATTGGCTCCTGCTTGTAGATGGCAGGTTATCTTCAACACCGCCCCCTCGTTTTTACGCACACATGCGCAGGCTGCGTTTGCTCCACACACACACATTCCCAAATCTAGCCCTTTGTCTCGGTCGCTGCACGGCGGTAGCCCCGAAACAGGAATTCAGCAGGGAAAGGAGGAGAGAAGGATATGTATGGACCAGACTGTCTCCTCCCCCCACCATAAGCGCACACACACACACACACACACACCACACTCTCTCCTCCCCCTGTACCCCCCTCCTCCTCCTTAGCCCTACTCGCCCCCATGCCTTTGTGTGTATGTGTGCGCTGTGAAGCTGACTGCGTACCCGAAAACCGTGTGATGGATGCCTTGCAAAGACCTTTTTGGGGAATTTCAATTTGATCTTATTTTAATACTGTGTGGGGAATTAGACAACTTGCAGGTGCGAGTAAAGAAGAGAAACCGGGTGGACGCACGTGAATCCCTCACTTATTCAAAGCCAGGAAATAGACAGGAGGAACCAGCAAGTGACGCAAATTGGACTTTCCACCATCAGCAACCCTCCTCTCCTCTCCTCTCCTCTCTCGCACACCTCCTGCTCTGTAGGTCCCCCCACTTACTTCCATCCAACCTAATTTCTCTCAGCCTCATTTAGTCATCCCAGAATAGCCTCTCACCGGAGCGCTCTCTAAATATTAGTGGAGGCTTTTTTGGATTTCGGTGTGACTTGGGAGTCGCTGGAGATGGATTAAAGGGACGGTGTGCCGCAAAACTGGAGCAGCACGCAAGACCACGCCGGGGGGGAAGGGGGCGACGGGACTCGGTGAATTCACGCAGCCCCCGGGACAGAGGTGAGTGCTCGGGCTGTCTGGCAGCTCTCTCTCCCCGCATGCATCCTCCAGAAACCCGCCGCTGCTCCTGGTACGAGCTGAGAGGCGAGCAGGGGGAATCAGCACATGGTTTTCACGTTCATTATTTATGATCTCATACGCAATCTGCCGATCTCTGCCTGTGGTGGAGGAACAGCAATGTTATCAGTAGCTTATATGGCATTCCTTTATTGTGTCTCCTTTTGATATCGTACTCACAATGTAACATTTAGCCTATAGTAGTAAACTGCTATTCATATTAAATGCATCTTCAGAAAAACATACATTCCCTCCAGGAAATGAGTACATCTTAACCACGTTTTAATACATCTTAGTGAATGTATATTAGTAGGACTGATAGCAGCCTAAAACATGTTCTTCTAGGTGTTGTGTTAACCCTCCTCCACATGGAGCATATGGCCCTTATGTCTCTCTGGCTCTTTGGGGCCCTGCAGTGGACATGGCAGCTGGCACTGCAACTTTCTTGATGGATGAGTGGGCTACACGGTGAATGGAAAATTGATTCTGTTGCACTTTATGTTCACCTCATTAATTCATTTTTAAGGTTCATGTTTACTAGCCATGGGTCATCATAAAAACAGCAACTCTACACTGTGTATTCTTATGTTAGTGGTCAATGAATGGCCTGTTGGGAGACTAACATTTCAGTGCCATTTTAAACTACTACAATTCTACAGAAATCTCCTGGCAGATCTATGTGTGAATAAACCAAAACATATTCTGCTTTTTTGTTTGAACTATAAAGACAACATTCTGAATTCACACCAATGTGATGAAAATAGGACTGTTATGTGTCTTGACTGAATAAAAAGTTCACAATCACCCACTCTATTTAAAATGCCACTATATCATACAATGCCAAGGCTGTAATTACCAACTATTTAAAAATGGATTCATCTGCCAATTTTAGTCAATTATTCAACTATTCGGTTGTTTTTTAAACCCATGATGTCAAGTTTATTATCACATAGCACAGAGAAAAGCAATATATTTTCACATCTAACTATAGGCAGCCTTATTTCTGGCATATGTGCTTAAATAAAGTCTTTAATCAACAGAATATTTATTTTCTGCCTTCCATGCAGTGCTTAACTGCTCAAATGTGTTATATTACTTTATTATTTGATATTACTTTATATATCAAATAAGGACACTGAAGTTAGATAAACCTATAAGGTAGATGCTTCCCAACAGGGCATGAGGGGTCACTGAGTGTTTTGATGAACATGATGTGAGTCATATAATAAGGCTCTCATACTCCACATATTGGAGATTCTGGACAACAATCTCCAATAAAAATGAAAACTATTTTATAAAATAATAATATTAATCCTTTCATTAGACTTCCAGACACTGTGAGAATATAATGTTAAGTGAAATAGAGATGATGGTTCACCTTAACCACACACTTGATATTGCTTTGTCCTTAATAATCGCACCTGTCTGTATAGCATACTAATACACTTTAGATATAAGCCATACCCACTACACCATATCACGATAATCTATAGTCAGTGATGCCACTTGACAACACAATCATTTCACTAACTTGTACTGTGGAATACATACCATAATGCACTTCCAGTCCAGACTTGTCTCTAATCCATTTTGAGATGTCCCCTCTGTGGGACTAATAAAGGTATTCTGATTCTGATTCTCTAACACCCCCCACCCTGACAGACTGACAGGCTGTGTCTGTCGACCGGAGGCAACACAACCCACCTCATCCACATGCAAACACTGCCATGAGTTTTGCAAGCACACAGCATACACATTTTGCACTCGCACACACTTATGCTGTGCCCCAGAGGACAAATGCTGGTGTGATAGATAAACAGGAGGCGCATTCTTGGTAGTGTGTGTGTGTGTGTGTGTGTGTGTGTGTGTGTGTGTGTGTGTGTGTGTGTGTGTGTGTGTGTGTGTGTGTGTGTGTGTGTGTGTGTGTGTGTGTGTGTGTGTGTGTGTGTGTGTGTGTGTGTGTGTGTGTGTGTGTGTGTGTGTGTGTGTGTGTGTGTGTGTGTGTGTGTGTGTGTGTGTGTGTGTGTGTGTGTTGGGGTGAGGTTTAAGTGCTGACTGGAGTAGGTCACTGAGACCAAGCAGGCAAGCAGCTATGAGAGTGAGACCCAGGACAGAGCGTCTTTCTAAGCTGCTTTCAGCCACGCTGGAATCCATCCATTCCAATATCCTCCACGTCTCTGGTCCTCACAGCAACCCCCTACTCCCCCGTTACCAGCACTACATACACAAACTGGAGCTACACTCATTCTAATTTTCTTTTATTATTTAGGTCTTTGATCTCCGCTTATCTTGTCCCCAGTTTTCCCCTATTTTCCTCTCTTCTCCTCTCCTCTCCTCTCTTCTCTTCTCCTCTCCTCTCCTCTCCTCTCCTTTCCTCTCCTCTTCATTTCTGGCGGTCATGGAAATTACAACGTGGAAGTCTTTGATTCTGTGTGCCTCACACCGCCTCAGGGTCAGGCCCTCTTATCTTGGAGAGAACGAGAGAAACAGAAACCCAGAAAAGAGGATGGAGATGAAGAGAACAGGGAGAGGTAGAGAGAGAGAGGTGTTGAGACTAAGGACAGATGGCAAGAGAAGGGAAGCTGTGGAAAGGTTGAAAAAGCAGAGGCAGGAATTTGACATATAAACAGATATTTAAAGACAAAACAGTGAAGAGAAAGGAAGTGCCCGTGAGAGAAAATAAGCAAAGCTAAGCAAAGCTAAGCAAACACTGAGCAATAAAATGTGAAGATGAAAGAGAACGAAAGAGGTAGGGATGCCTTACCAGACAAAATGTGTTTCTTTAAGGAGAGTATTTTTAGATTGAAGCATCAGATCAGCTTATGTTATGCTCATATTCAATCTGCCTTGTCCATTTGTCTGCCATAAAAAGGGAAATCTCAAGAAGAAAAGTGATTTAAGCAATAATGGAAGACAACATCTCCACTGAGACCCGTCTCAATAGTGTCGACTCAGCACAATGTGCAGCATGTTTCATTGTGGTTTAGAAAGTGACTCACCTCTGAGGTATGTTCATCATAGTGATGAGTATAGATTTAGTTAAAAAGTCAATATTGCCTAAAAGTCAATATTACATTACAGTCATTTGTTAGACGCTTTTATCCAAAGCGACTTACATACATTCAGTACTGTGGACAATCCCCACAGGAGCAATTTGGGGTGAAGTGTCTCAGGGACACAACGACATGCTGACTGCAGTGGGGTTTGAACCTGTGACCCCCTGATCCGAAATCCAGCACTTAGCCACAGCCGCCCGCTCAACACAGGAGTAGACTTAGGTAGAAAAAGATAGGTAACTACATAATACAGAGACAGAAGAAGAGCAGTCTAGAGGAAGGTGTTGGTAAAATGAAGAAAGACTGGCAGGAAAGAGGGAAGGTGATTGAGAAAGTGATAAGTAAAATTGGTGGTGGAAGATTGAGCGAGAAGGAAGACAGAAGCAGAGATATCAGTCTGGGCAGAAAGGAGAGAAATAGGGAGCTGTAGGAAAGGCTCTGAATATTTAACTCTGTTTAGTTTTCCATTCGGGCCCTTGGCTCTCACGTCTCTCAGAGGCCTTCTGATCGCCTTAAGGTTACTGATGGTAGGAGATGTCGGCATGTCTAAGAGCTTGTGAGGAAGATTCATTTAGTTTGTAGAAACCATTTGGAAGTTAAAAGCGTCCTTTTGAATTATTTTCTCTGTAGATTTTCAGCGTCTTTTAACCTTGTGTGTGTGTGTGTGTGTGTGTGTGTGTGTGTGTGTGTGTGTGTGTGTGTGTGTGTGTGTGTGTGTGTGTGTGTGTGTGTGTGTGTGTGTGTGTGTGTGTGTGTGTGTGTGTGTGTGTGTGGTCTAGCATTACTATACTTGTGGGGACCTAAATCTGTTTACATAGTCACGTGTGGGGACTGGCTTCCCTTATGGGGACAAATTGGAGGTCCCCATGAGGGGAATCATTAATTTTAGGGTGAAGACTTGGTTAGGTTTAGGATTAGGGTTAGGGTAAGGGTAAGGGTAAGGGTTAGGGTTAGGCATGTGTTGGTTATGGTTAAGGTTAGGATAAGTCTCCAGGAAATGCATGTAAGTCAATGTAATGTCCCCTGAAGTGATGTATACATGGTGTGTGTGTGGTGTGTGTGTGTGTGTGTGTGTGTGTGTGTGTGTGTGTGTGTGTGTGTGTGTGTGTGTGTGTGTGTGTGTGTGTGTGTGTGTGTGTGGTGTGGTGTGTGGTGTGTGTGTGTGTGTGTGTTGTGTGTGTGTGTGTGTGTGTGTGTGTGTGTGTGTGTGTGTGTGTGTGTGTGTGGTGTGTGTGTGTGTGTGTGTGTGTGTGTGTGTGTGTGTGTGTGTGTGTGTGTGTGTGTGTGTGTGTGTGTGTGTGTGTGTGTGTGTGTGTGTGTGTGTGTGTGTGTGCTAATAAGGCACCTCATTACCGAACAACAACACTGTAACAAAAATACTCAGAATCCATTAGTGAAAACAAGTGGTCACATTCTTTACACAAATGCATTGTAATTGGTCTATTTCTAAGCATTTCAAACAGCCTTTGGCAACTTTCTAAACCTATGATTCCTTCATTAGATACGTCCAGGCCTGACAGAAGTTAGGATGTTCTTTTGATGCTTTCAGAAATATTGATGGTGGAAATATAGAAAGTACTCTAAAGCCTTCTCTTGGCAATCTGTTATCCCAACAGGCTGTGAATGGTCCCACCCCAAGATGACATCTCCCAAAAACAAAGCCAAGAAGAAAACACCCAAAGACAGCATGACGCTGCTGCCATGCTTTTATTTTGTAGAGGTATGTGTTGATAGATTGATTATTCTCCCTTTTTATAATACGTCTATGCTATGACACACTATATAGATGAATCACTCTTTCTGCTGCATGGAGTCGTTCTATAGTGCCTATTTATGATGATTGCTTATGCATCCGACCTCTACTGAAAGCAGAGTTTGATGTTTTTTAACAAGCAAATATCATAGTGTCATCACTTTTTCCTCATCCCTTGTGTATGTTTGAAGGTGAGTGTTAGTAGTTGTGGTAAGAGCTGAGATAAAACACTGGATGAATCACCCCCTTTTTCAGGCACACATTACATGCCAGTCCCTCTCTGCTTTGTCCTTGCACTTGTGTGCTTTTGTCCAGCTCCCCATCGTCCTATCCTCCTTGGTGTCCCTGTACTTTCTGGAGCTGACAGATGTGTTGTCCCCGGCGATGGTTGGCTTCCGTTGCCACGACCGTGACCTCTCCATGCCCTACGTGGAGACGGGCGATGAGCTCATCCCGCTGCTGATGCTGCTCAGTTTGGCCTTCGCTGGACCTGCAGCATCTGTAAGTCCATCAGGCACACACATTCACACACACACACACGCATATACACACACAAATGCACACACACAAACGCACACACACACACATTGATTGATAGTTGTTTGCTAAAAAGAGAGTTCCCTGCTTAATGAACTGGATTTTTTAAGAAATACTGACATTTTGGAGCAAGTGTTGTTTCCTTGTTACCCAAAAATGGTCTTCTCATGCAGTTTAAGGCTCTATTATGGTGATGTTAGACTAGTTGGGTACAATCAAGTACCAAATTAGCTTTAAATGCTCTTAGATTTCTTCAAAGATGGATCACTGATCTAATGGTTTTTAAATGATTATTTTTTGTCTTTCCTAATGGCGCTATTTCCGAGAAATAGGATTACATCAAATCATATTCCCATTTTTAAAACCAATGAACTTTCCATGTTAATGCACACAGACACAGCATGCTAGAAACAAGACCAGAAAGTTAGTTTGGAAAATGACATCGCTTAAAAGCAGGAAGACTCAACGCTTACGTTACGATAAAACACTGTCCAAAATCTAACATGATAGCTTAGCTCATTACGATATTGATCACAATATATCGTCTAGTCCTAATGAATAGCCATAGGCAAAAAATGCCTCAGAGTGACAATATTGAACACAGTATACTTCCAGCTCATAATTGACACTGAGAATGCCTATTTTCTTGATTAGCTTCTTCTTGATCCTACAGAGATGAACACTGTTACAAAAAGGTTAGATGAAAAAACTAGGAATTAAATAAGATGGCTAGTCACCAAAAATGTATCCTTAAGTGCTTTTATTGACAGCCAACATGCCGAAAAAAACACAACGTAACAAGGATTTTACAGGAAGAAAACAAAAACCCTCATATATACATACAGGTCGAGGACATATAACTGGTACCTCTCTGCTCTACAGCCACAGTCAGACCCTCCAAAACACTTGTGGCCAGGGTTTTATACATGTTAAGCCCCTCCCCATAGGACAATCCACTATGTATACCCCTAACCAATGTCATTCTAATCTACAAACACATTCACAATGCAAGACAAATTACCCAAACACAACAAATCAAAATAGGTCAACATATTATATCTTTCTGACCACAGAAGCCCCAAACAATAACATTTTTACACTCGCAAGAAAAGTGCCACCCGTGCCCATGCTCCAATTGAGCACAGGTGTTCCCACTGATTGAGCCTCTACTTAAGGCTGCTTCTTTCTGTTGCTCTGTTTGGCCTTCACAACCTTGAAGGAGAGGGTAAGCAGGTTACTTGTAAAAAGACTTCCAATAAATCTGTTTTGAACAATGACTTGGGTTTTATTTTATCAATGTCCAGGTAAGTTATTAATGTGTTTCCCTCAGTGTGCCTTTTACAATGCCCCTATGCCAACTGTGATGAAGGCTTCTTCTTCACATTACCACCCTCCTCTCCTGCATCAACGATGTTTGGCAGCCTTGACAGGTAGTCTGCGGTGACGTTTTCCTTGCCTGCTTTGTGCCACACACAGAACTTGAACGGTTGTAGTTCAAGATACTATCTAGTCACCCTGGCGTTCCGGTCCTTCATGGTCTGAATCCACGTCAAGGCTCTATGGTCCGTCTGTAGGTCGAATTCCCTCCCGAGTAGGTAGTACCTTAGGCTGTCCAATGCCCACTTGATTGCCAGACACTCCTTCTCGATGGTGGAGTACCGGGTTTCACGGGGCAGAAGTTTCCTGCTGAGATACAACACTGGACGTTCCTCTCCTGGTTCTCCCTGAGCCAGCACTACACCGATGCCCACTCCAGAGGCATCCACCTGAACCAGGAAGCGTCTTTCGAAGTCAGGACTCTGCAGTACCGGAGACGAGCACAGTTTTTTCTTCAACTCCTGGAAAGCCCTTTCACACTCTTCATTCTAGAGTGGCAAACTGAGGAATAAAACGTCGATACCATCCAACCAGGCCAAGAAAGGGCCGTACCTGTTTCTTGGTACGAGGTCTCAGACTGTTCAGGACGGCCTCAACTTTGTCCACCTGCGGCCTGACTTCACCGTTCCCCAGCTGATACCCAAGGTAACGAGTCTCCTGCTTAGCCCACTCACATTTCTGTAGGTTGAGTGTGAGTCCTGCGGCATGGATTGCACCTAGGACCCGACGAAGGTGATCGAGATGTTCCTCCCAGGTCCTGCTGTAAAGGACCACGTCATCCAGGTAGGCAGCACTGCAGTCCTCGCATCCCAGAAGAACTTTGTCCATTAACCTCTGGAAGGTTGCTGGGGCACCATGTAGACCAAACGGCATCACAGTAAACTGGAAGAGGCCGAGTGGGCTTCTGAACGCGGTGAGGTGCCGGGACTGGCTTTCCAAGGGGACCTGCCAATACCCCTTGCAGAGGTCCAAGGTAGTGATGTAGTTGGCTCGACCAATCCTCTCCAGCAGGTCCTCAATCCGGGGCATTGGGTAGGCATCAAAGAAGGAGATGGCATTCAGCTTCCTAAAGTCAATGCAAATGCGGAGAGAGCCATCCTTCTTGGGTACAATGACAATAGGGCTACTACACTCACTGGTTGATGGTTCGATTACTCCCAGCTCGAGCATCAAGCGGATTTTTTCCTTCAACGCCTCAACTAAACGTTCCGGTACTCTGTAGCATGCTTGCCGAACTGGGTTCTTCCCCGGTTTGACTCGGATTACATGCTACAACCTGTCCAGCCTGGTTTCTGTGGGAACAAGTGGGGAAGGGTATCGAAAATAACTTGCAAGTCAACTGGCTTCTTACCATCCAGGTGGGAGAGATCGACCTTCGCTGGCTGCTGATTCCAGGCACCCACTACCCCTTCGGAGTCATCCTCTTCAACCACCCTGCGAGCCAGTAGTGAGGTGATGGGAGGAGGGCTGCTTCTTTCCTCCCATGCTTTAAGGAGATTGACATGATAAGTCTGCTTTTTTTTTTTCTTCTCCGGGTGCAAGATCTCATAAGTCGTAGGCCCCATCTTCCTTAACACTTCAAACGGTCCCTGCCATTTGGCCAGTAGCTTGCTAGAGGAATAAGGCAAGAGTAACAAGACCTTTTGACCTGGTTTGAACTCACGGTTGCGTGCTTGCTGGTCGTACCATCGTTTCTGAGTCTTCTGGGCATCCATTACATTGAGCCTGGCCTCCTCTCGGTACTGCTCCAACCGGTCCCTGATCTGGAGGACATACTGCAAAATACCCTGCCCTTCTGCCTTTTTGTCTGTTACCTTTTCCTCCCAGTTACGTTTCAACAGATCCAAGGGCCCTTGGACTGGCCAGCCGTAGAGTAGCTCGAACGGGGAAAATCCGGTGGACGCTTGAGGCAATTCCCTGTAGGCAAAGAGTAGAAAGGGTAACCACTTATCCCAGTCTTTTCCAGTATCAGATATGACCTCCTTAGCAGTACTAAACATGTCTGTGAACCCTTGTCAGGACAGAAAGTGCATGTTTCTTGTTTCGTAGTGACACGGTCACAGGCAAAAGCCCAAGCAAATCCTGGTGTCCAGCCTCTGCCAGACAGCAGATAGCTTGGCTCATTACGATATTGATCACAATATATGTTCTAGTCCTAATGAATAGCCATAGGCAAAAAATGCCTCAGAGTGACAATATTGAACACAGTATACTTCCAGCTCATAATTGACACTGAGAATGCCTATTTTCTTGATTAGCTTCTTCTTGATCCTACAGAGATGAACACAAATTGAGCTTAAAGAATAATAATCCTTTTAGCTCATTTTTGGTCTCCACCAACTCCATAGAGAAATATCTTCAAGCTTCAAGGGTTGTATTGTCATATGCACAGTAGCTACAGTGTAGTTACGGCCATTTTTTTCTTTAGCTGGCTTTGTGTAACTATTTTAACAACTATCACTGACATTGTAATATGTTGCTTTGCAGGCAGCGTTTATTTGGATTATCAGATTTTCTCACTGCTAGATAACGTACTAATAAAAGCAGAATTTTCAGTCTGTACCACCAAAAGCTGAACATCTTGTAGAGTAATAACTCCCTGCTGGTTTTTCATGTAAACATGTTGTTAAGTGAAGCCTTATAAGAGCAAAAAAAACCCGTATTGGTGAGGAAAGGATTAATTTTGTCTCAGATATTCAGTGATCTAAAGTGTCTCGGGTTTGGATGTTTGATGTTCTTCACACACAGAAGCAAATATGCAAAGGTAAAGCTTCTCCAACGCTCGCTAAGCAAATTCAATCTCCTCTCCGAAATGCCGAATCAATGGCCTCATTGATAAATTCACACCTGACATGCCAATACACACCATCAAACACACCCCAGGCCCTCCAATCAATACACACACACTGACACACACACTGCTAATCCATCAGCAGCATGGAAACGAGCAGAGCTCTCCAACACTCATCTATCACTCAGATTGGAAGTGATCACTATTCGATAGCACCTTGCCTCCATTCTCCCTCCACAGCTCTCTCTCACAGTAGATCACAATCACCCAAATGGATTTTTGACATTAATAGCACTTTTACCCGTTTTCTTATTTGATTCTTTCCTCTTTTTGTCTCGTTCTTTTTGTTCTTTTTTCATATTTTTCTCTCTGTGCCTACTATACAACAGAAATGTACTTTCCCCCCACTTTTTCACTTATTTTCCCTTTCCTTTCTGTTTGTAGATAATGATGGGGGAGGGCCTAACGTACTGTCTGCAGTCCAAACTGAAGACATGTCCCAAGTCGGAGAGCAGCATCAACGCTGGAGGCTGCAGCTTCAACTCCTTCCTACGCAGAACCGTGCGCTTTGTCGGTACGTCCAACTCCTAGCGATCCTTTAGGAGCTTTTGGGGGGATACATGGTTGTTGGTATGGACGTAGCAATAGTTGTTGTGCAGTTTGCCTAAGGGGCCACTTTTTAAAGGGTCTCATTAACCGCATGGTTTGTCAAATTTGTTTCCCCGTAGAAGCATCGGATTCTGTTGGTAATGAAGATGCATATATAAAGCATTTGAATTACATGATCCAAAACAAGCACCACATTGAAGTGCTTGCTAATGCAGTGTATTTAAGTCAATCAGTTACTAAGTGTGACAATATTGCCATGTCAGGCTCGATTTTACTTAAATGTGCCTCTTTGTAAGGTTTATTTATTTAGATTTTTCAGTTTAACTTTGGTTTTTACCTTATGGTCAAAGACAAATGTAAGGGTAACGTTTTTTTGCTAAGGGACACTTTGACATATGGTGGTTGCTAGACATGGTTTGCCACAAAGCATATTCTGCACATGCTATCTAAATCACATAATTCAACACAAGCACTGAAGTGAAGCATTTGTCGAATGATACAGAGGACTAATTCTTCAAAGTAAGATAAGAGGGAACTTGTCTTCATGTGTAGTTTACATCTGCTCCTTTAGGCTTACAAAACAGTCAACACTGTAATGAACAACCTGCTGAGGGTAGTTAGAGAATAAATGCTGTTGTTTTTAAGGTGGATATCAGTTTTGGCTCTGATAAACTCTTCCATTTAACGGGCTGAGCCCCCACCTTGATTCCACTTTTTAGAATAAGGAAAAAAGCTAATTACATGCATTAAATGAAGGGTGACTTGAAAGGAAATGGGCATGATAGAATGCTCCACGGGAAGTATACCTTTAGGCAGACATTGAGCTTTGAAGTGAACAGAGTAATTAATTCCCTGTCTGCGGAAAAGCTTCTCAACGTTACAAATTGAAGGCTTGTGGTGTCACTTCAGGTGGTTGGAGCAAATTTCGAGTCGTTTTTCCAGCAGGTGTTCATAAGTGAACCGCTCATAGTGAAGAATTCTCACAGGGCTTTTTTTGTTCATCTACCAAGGCGACCATCTCTATCTCCGTCTCCCTCAGGTGTTCATGTGTTCGGTCTCCTGGCAACAGCCCTGGTGACAGATGTCATCCAGTTAGCGACCGGTTACCACTCCCCTTTCTTCCTCACCGTCTGCCAGCCCAATTACACGGCTCCAGGAGTGTCATGTGACAATAATGCCTACATCACACGGGACATATGCTTGGGGAAGGATCAGTATGCCATCATGTCAGCTAGGTAAGACACACAGATACATGTAGACGTCCTAAAAACAGCATCCATGGACACGTGGAAAGTGTCAACCTGCCTGAATAAAAAAATCTGCTTCCTGGATACAACTGAAAATAAAACATAATGGCACTCAGATATTCAGTGCATTCATTCCAGGATTATAGTTTTTTTATAAGTTTCTACAGCAATGTTAGTTCCCTTGCAAGTTGATGCACAAAAGTATATAAAAAATATCTTGTAGGTTAATGCCTTCTGTTGAGGTTCTGCTTATACATATATATGATTTATCAGAAAATGCTACAAACCACATTTAGTTTCACTCATGAAAGAACAATACTGTATATTTCTACACATCACCATCTTGCAGGGGTGAGTGTGTAAACTAAGACTAAGAGTCCTTCAACTAATTTAGATTTGAAAAGGATTACAAATGATTAAAAAAAGCGTAGGGGTAAAATGTTTGTAACATTTGTATAGTAGAATAATATTTGCTTACGAAGGATATTGGTAAAGTTAAGTGTTTTTTTGCAACTGTACAAACCCTTTATAATACGCTTATTCTTCCCAGCAGTAAAATCTCACTGTCAGGTGCTGCGGCTAATCGACCGTATTGAATAAACTCTTTAGCAGTGAACAGTCAAATGAACCGACAGAGGTCAGACAAACACGCTTCAGCAGCTACTTTAGGTTTACACGGGCATAATAACTGCAAACAGACAGAAACGATTTCAGTTAAATATCTGCTAAAGATGATATCCTAGTATAAACACACATACTTGTGAGAACCCATATTTACGTAATGCTTTCCAAATGTCATATCCTTAAAGGAATAGTTATGGATAATTATGATGGAATCTAACTCTCAGCAAGAAAGCAAAACTTCAACAAATGTCAACTAAATTCCTAATCCCAACTATTAGCGTACACAAAGGTTTAACCCTGAACAAGTGGGAGAAGGTAAACACACAAGCATACTCATAAAACATAACAGTGCCTTGGTAATGCAAATTAAATCAGATTCACGATTCAGTTTTCTAAACTCTAAATTAGCGACTTTGACCTCAACTAATTTACTCTCCCCTAATGTTCCCACTAAAGCCCATAGTTGTAAATGTATGTTGATTAATGCTCAGATCCAGGGACACAGGTTTAATGTCAACATCACAAACAGCTTTTTCAGGTTTATTCGTGAGTCAATAAACACACAAAATCCACTCAGCTTTTTTTTATGAGGCATAAATCTCTCTTTGTCTTTTGGCCTTCACTCTTTCCCGCCTAACTCTGCCCCTTTTTTCCTTCAGGAAAACATTTCCATCCCAGCATGCAACGCTCTCTGGCTTCGCTGCTGTCTATATCTCCGTAAGCACCTCTGTGTTTGTGTACCTTGAGTTTGATGTAATTGCATCATTAACTTTGTGCTTTCATGTGTTTGGGACTGTGTATGTGTGGTTAATTAGAGGTGTCTCTCTTATGAACATTAATTCACTCTAACCTTGAAGTAGTTAAAGGGACAGTTCACCTTAAAACGAGACATTTATATTTCCTCTTACCTGTAGTAATTATTATCATCTAGATTGTTTTGGTGTGAGTTGCCATGTGTTGGAGATATCTGGAATAGAGAAGTCTCTCCCCTATGAGTAGTTGACGCTTGCTTCTGCACAGTGATATGGTTTGCAAGTGTAGTAAGGTAGATATACAAATAGTAAATAGAACTGCTCACAACAGGGTCTGTGGATTATCTTGTGTAACCGCTTCATGATTTCTGCAAATAGTCATTACTTTAGAGTTTTGTATACATTTCTGACCACACTCAGAGTGCCATCTCGTTCCATTAAATCCAAGAGAAAGCAATTATCTCTATCGCTGATATCTAACACACTCAGCGACTCTCACTCTGAAAATATGTATTGTTCCATTTAGGAGCTGGATTGTTGCCTTAATTTAGTTTTGATATGATTTTGGTAAGACAAATGCTCGGTGATACAGAAGTATCACCTTTGCACTACATTTATTTGTTAAATGTTGTTTTTATTAGAAAATCTCCATGACTTTTGCAGTCAACAGTTTATCCGTTAAATTATCTGTTTTCACGATAACTACTTATTTTTAATGAATGTTGCTGCTGGCAAAATAAGATGAGTTCCTGCATCACAGAGGATTCTAGCTGGAAAAACATCACTGTCACTTCATGCATAAATCACAATTGTATTATGTTGTTTACTCACTGAGAGATTTCCGGATTTTAGACTACAGTACCCTCAGGATAAAAACCATCCAAATCATACATTAAAAAAATAATATGAACTGACTTTTAAGGTCAGATTTCTGTTGGCTTTGACATCCTAGATCATATTGGTAGTGGCGTTGTGCCATTCTGTATTCCGCTGCTGACAGCAGCAGTATGTGAACTGTACAGCAAAGTACACACACACACACACACACACACACACACACACACACACACACACACACACACACACACACACACACACACACACACACACACACACACACACACACACACCTCTAACAAAGGCTATTCAAGCTACTGGCCATATCTCTGCTGCCTCACTCAGAGTGTGCTCATTAAAGCCTACCAGACCGATGAGAGGGAATAGGAGAGGAAGAGATGGAAAGCAGCTGTTTTGGTTGCTATTGTTGCATCATGTTGTCTCTGTGTAGACTCTGTTAATATCTGTTAACTCGGATGATTTTTCTTTGGTGTTATTCTACACTTCCCATTACATTAGAACATGTATTTATTGTATTAAGTATCAAAAACTTCACAATCGAGTGAAATGTTTCCAGTAGTTTCCATAGCCTACCTTCTCTTCACACATTTGGTTGTTTATTTTTGTATTTGCTGGAACCTGACAGTAAAAGCAGATGGCTTGATTAAGTGAACACATTTGATTGCATTGAAGTCACTGAAATGTTAACCTTCTGGCAGATTCTTGCGTCTTGAAAAGTTGGATTTTAAAGCTCACTACTAGATGGACAAGCTTGTTAAAATGGATATTTTTGCCAAGCCTGCTTCTCTGTCACTCAGCTATCAGCTACTTTATGTAATCGAAATATGGTGTGCATGCAGAGAATTTCAATGTAAATCTATGAATATAAACTGTCTCCCTTCCCGTTTCCCTCCTGCTTATACTTCCCCACTCTACTGTGCTGTCAAAGAATATTCATCGTAATGACCTAGTTTAGCCTAGCTAGTTTAAAATGCCTCTAACAATCCATACATTATTAAAATAATTTGCAAGGACCACAAACAATAAGAGAAAGGTTGTTTGATTTTTTTCAGCCTAATGTCACTTCAAGAGCATTTTTAAACAATTGCAGTTGCATTTGAAAGAAGTGAAATTATGTTACCCAGTTATATAAATAACATTAAGTGACATTTATTTACATTTTTTGCTCAGAAAGGAAGGACCCAGTTAGCTTAGCTTGGTTTCAAGAGTGAAAGCTGTTTCCCCTGCTTCCACACGATATGCTAATGCTAAGCTTAGCTAAGCTAACCGGCTGTTAGCTGTAGCCTTTTATTTCAAACACAAACATAAAAGTGGTATTAATCATCCCAATTAACTTTGAGCAAGTATATTTCCCAACATTTCTAATTGTTCTTTTAATAATAAAGTATAAAATACAATTTTATTTTAATCCTGTAAACTGTAAATCAGTCTACCGCTGAGGTCAAGTTTTACTGAAGTGTGTTGTTATGCCTTTTAATGACATCTCCAGCTCAGTCTCCATGCATCTGGCTGGCATATCAATGCGTGCCTTTTTTCTCTGCAGATGTATTTAAATGCCAGCATCAACACCACGACCAAGCTGCTGAAGCCGTTGCTGGTGTTTGCTTTCTGCATGGCCGCGGGCCTCGCCGGGCTGACACAGATCACTCAGCACCGCAGTCACCCCATAGACGTATACGTGGGATACCTCATAGGAGCCGGTGTAGGAGTCTACCTGGTAAGTGAAAATATGTATCAAACTAAAACCTGTGGGAAAATACTTAAAGGGCTTAATTTATTTAGCTGATTTCAAGATACCTACCTTTTATGCTACTTTAACTTTTTACAAGTGAGACTGTTTTGAAATGTCTTTCCTATTTCAGGGTTTAGTTTTGAGTGCCAGCTTTTGTTTTTAAGTATTTAGGGGTGTCATTTATGGAGAAGTTAACACCATGCATGCAGCAAGGTAATGACCAAATACACATAAATATATTTTCTAATTAAGTGCTTTTGTTATTTTTGCATTGACTGAATTGTCACGTTGTATTATTATAACACTATCACAGTATTTGCTAACAAATTATTATTTTAACAGCCTCTCCATGTGGCTTCTGCACTTCAGCAGTTTTTTTTGGACAGGATCTATTTATAGCCTTTTTCTATTTCGGAGGGAAGGGAGGGAGAAAGAATAATCCGATAAGAATTCTCTGGAACAATTTCACACTTCATTTTAAGAAAACTTGTCGTCTCCATTCTCCACGCTTCCCTCCTCCTCTCACTCTTTCTTTCTCGTCTTTTACATTTTAAGAGGGAGAGCGTTTCCTCCTTTCATTAAAGGATAAATCTTAAGAGGGGGAAGCAGATGAATCACGTTGAACTCAGACTAGACAACAGAAAGAAGGAGAAATGATTATTCATGCATTTGCTCCCCACTAATAGAAATATAAAACAATTTCCCTCCAAAAGATTAAAGAAAGCACATTTTCACGCTTCAGTCTTTATCTAACATGCTTGGTATTTCTATCTCCTCTTTCCCAATCCCCCCACCGCCCTGTATCCGTGTCTCAGGCTGTGTTCGCAGTGGGAAACTTCAAAGCATCAGAGGAAGATGCTCCCTCTCTACAGAGACTGACCCCAGCTCAGCAGAAGGACGGCCTGAGGGTGCTGACCCAGCGGAGTCATGACTCGCTGTACAGGAAGACCCCCAGGGTGTCTGAGAGCAGAGAGGAGCTTGGGGCGGGGCTAGGGTCTGGAGCTCGCAGTAAGGTGAGGAGGGAGAAGGCGTCGTTGGCTTCCCTCAAACGAGCGAGTGCTGATGTGGAGCTCCTGGCAACCCGGGGTCCAATGGGCAAGGAAACCATGGTTACATTCAGTAACACCTTGCCCCGCGTCGCAAACGGCAACAGCCCCATCTCACCCTCAGACGAGCTGCCCACCACGCAGCGTCACATGACCTTCAGCGTGCCCTATGACTCCCAGAGGTCTCGGCAACTGGTGACAGAGTGGAGGCAGCGGTCGGTGGAGCTCCGCAGCCAGATTTCAAGAGACGAGGAGGAAGGGATGGACAGGAGGGACGGGGGAGATGAGGGGGAGGAGGACCAGGAGATGCCCTCCTCTCTTTATCCCACAGTGCAAGCCAACAAGGGCATCGCCACACCAACTGGAGCCAGGATGGTGGTGTCACCCCCACTCGTTCACATCCCTGAAGAGGCCAGCCGGCCGCCGCCTGTCTCTCCGAAGAGTGCCAAGACCCGCGCCAAGTGGCTGTCACTCCAAGATGGAGGCGGGGGGAAAGAGCCGGGGGTCGGGCCGATCGCAGTGTCGACCCCCCGTGTGCCAAACACCCAGCCCAACCAGCCGCCCAGCCAGCCGAGAGTCACTCAGGTGAGGAAGAAATTGGAAAATTAATGCATGCAAGTCATATAATTATATTCTTTAGAGAAGTAATTTCTCCTTCTTTGATTTCTCGTGGCATGCAGCCAGTTCTTACAAATATAGTCCAGACAAGAAGATTTAATGGCTGCCAAACGCTGCATGTGCAACACACCTAATGATTTATTGTGATGGTCAAATCAAAACACGTGTGGAGCCAATTTCACTGATTATTTCCAATATAAAATACTCACGCTGGGATTCAAACACTTATTATAGTTGGAGTTAAATCTCAATAAAACGTCTGTTAGGTTATAGTAACACATTCAGTATCCCTTTTTCATAATTACTGCAATGAAAGCCTCTGAACATAATCGTTCAGCTGGTTTGAAAAATACAAAATGCTGCTCTTGAAAGCAATGAAAGCTCATCATTTACTTTGGAACCAGAAATTGACAATGCAAAAGTGAGGTCAATTTTCCAGATGATCTTTTTTCCTTTCAGGTTCATGTTATTTATTTGTACCTGTAGGTAGATTTGGTTTGCAGATAAAAGAAAAGGGATCCATTATGACACATACATTACATCTAAAATCATTTGAAAACCACTAGTACAAACATGAGCAACCCAGAAAGTTAATAAATAAATATGCATCGCTTTCTTAGCATCTGTGACATTGACTCAGCTTGATAATTTATTATACGGCTACTGGAACAAAGCTGTTTTTAAAACGCTTTGGGACAAGTGGTTCTACATTCTCAATACATGTGTTTCTGTCCTCCAGGTGATAGCCATGTCCAAGCAGCAGGGTCATGGGGTCACTTCGTCCACTAAGACGTCAGAAGGCGGCTCCTCCTCTGGCGGTGGCTCTATCTGCTCTGAGTCGCCCTATTACCGGATCCCGTCTGATCGCGACAGCTGCACAGGGAGCAACCCGGGGAGCATAGCCGGCAGCGGGAGCATCGTCACCATCGACGCTCACGCCCCTCACCACCCGGTGGTGCGCGTGTCGGCCGCTAACGGCAAGCCGTGGGAGTGGAGGAACACCATCAGCGGAAACATGATGTCCGCCGACACGGCAGCAGACAAACACCGCCTGGCGCTGCAGCGGCAGGACAATGTCAGTCAGTACCGGGACTACCGGACTCTGCCGGTGAAAAAGGAATCGCACTGCTCCTCCTCCTCACCCAGCGCCGAGGGAGGACCCGATCTGCCTCCCCCACCCCTCCCCACCTCCACCTCTCCTCTGCCTCCCCTTCTTCACATGCTGTCGTCCCCTCTACCACCACCGCCTCCCCACTCGTCTCCTTCCCCTTTGCCTCCGCCTCCTCACCCAAGCTCCTCTCCGATGCTTCCTCATCTTCCTCACCCTGCCTCCTCTCACATGCCTCCTCACCTGTCCTCTCAGCTGCCCCCACCACCCCTCCCATCATCTTCTCCCATTCCCCCCCATCCTCACCCATCTTCCTCTCAAATGCCTCTACCTCCTCACCCATCTTCCTCTCAAATGCCCCCACCACCTCACCCATCCTCCTTTCAAATGCCCCTACCTCCGCATCCATCCTCTTCCCCTTTGCCACCTCCACATCATCCATCCTCAACCCCTTTGCCCCCTCCACCTCACTCCTCGTCCTCCATGCCTCCACCTCCTCACCCGTCCTGCTCCAGCATGCTTCCCCCTCCTCCCCATCCAGACTTACTGATGGACGGCCACAACCAGTCGCTGTCCCGCACCTCCACCCTCCCTCGCCGGCCCTCCGCCCGTAGCCATGCCGAGCAGGAGCACTACTACAAGGCCATGCAGAATGAGAGGATGTTATAGTGACGACGGCTTTGTCATATTTATGTACTGCAGAGGACTCCGCTAAAAGAGACAGTGAAACAAAGTAGGATGTGGCAGGCAAATAGTGACTTTTGAAAAATGACAAAAGGGTTTAGAGACTCTGAACAGAAGCTTCAGTGAAAACGCTGGAAATGAAGGGGCAGCAGGGGTGGAGGTCTGGCAGCTCACACATGCCTAGCAGGGGATCTGGTTTTCTCTCCTGCTCACACACACTGCCCACAGCGCCGGCTCAACGGCTCTGACTGGGAAAAGAACAGATGAGAGCAGGGGAGTCAAAGAGCCGGGTGAAGAATTAAAAACCCTCGCTTCACCTACATCCTCCGTTTCTCTTTAAGACGCATTCAAAGAAGGCGTGGAAGAGGCTGCAGCTGAGAGAGAGATATCACAATAAACGGTTTGGGATTTGCTAAATTGAGTTTCCCTTGAGAGGAGGGATAAGACTCAGAAAACAAAACAACTACAGGCTATACTAGCTCTCCTAAAAGTAGTGCAGCTGTTTGCCAGCCAATACACACAGATAATTTGCCGTTGTAAGAAAAACTTGAAATAAAAGCTATAAAATAAGAAAAGACAGGCCACGGTAAGTTCAACCACAGATTCAAGAGTATTAGCAACAACCCACAAAAGCATGAGTCTTTTTTCCCCCTCTGATTACACAAACCAAATGGGGAAATGTATGTTAGACACCATGCAAATCTGTCTGTAGTATCCACCAGAGAGATCCGGCTTAGGAAGTGTTACTTCTGGTCGGGGTGTGAGATGGAGGAGGAGGGGTGGGCATAAGGAGGATCACGCACAGTTGGGCACCCCTATACAGACGTCACTGACTGGATTACTGTTGTAAACATCAGAGGCGTCGGAATGGAAAGGGAATTGTTCCCAAATCGAAGGAGGTGGGCAGCCAGTCTGTCTCTGCTGTGTGCGAAACCTGCCACGGAGCCTGAAGCAGCACTAAGGAGATTAACGGTTGTTTATCAAACCATGCTAGCACACTCTTCCCTCCATAGGCCTTTGCATTTGCTCCTCTGGCAAAACACAATGGTGACGGGACTGTTAATGGGAAGCCAGGAGTGCAGACCGCCATCCCCACCGACATGCACAGGTGCCGGTTGGATGCAACGTAGTGTTGCTAGCAGTCTCTGTTTACACATGTTTACATTTCAAAGATTGTGGCACTCCTTTCTAAACATGCATACTTTACAAGGGGTTTTAAATATGTTGTTTTATTAATGATGTTTTATTTATGCTTTAAACATCGGTAATAAGAAATGTTTCCTTTTTAAGAGCAACTTCAGGGTTGAAAAACATCTTTCGTTGGGGTGCAAATGTGTTTTATAGGAAAAGCTCTGCAGGAAGACTAAATAATGTTTACAATATTTACAGCTCCAGACTTCATCTATTATGTATACCCACTTATCCTTTGCAGGGTCTCTAGAGATCGTCACCCTTATTTAAGTATGCCTTATTAGAAAGTGTTACAATTTTTTAGGTAGGTCTTTTTTTATGATCAAATAAATTCCCTTTTTTAATTAAAGTGACAGAACCTTCCAAAACCTTCAAAACAAACTCAAAGTAAGCTCCACTTTCTCTTCGGCTTTGGATTTGCATTGCTTGGTTTGAATGGTCGGACAAACAGATGAACTACATGGGCTGATGAGGTCTATGTAATGCAGTCAAAAGGTCCAGAACAAGAGAGTAGGTACAACAAACTGCTGTTTCATACAGTATGTCCTGAATGAGCTTACCAATTAAAGGTTTACGTCTAGATTTTTTACAAATTTGGATCAAACGATTAATAATTAACCATGGAATAATGAAATGATTAACCTATAATAAAAATAATCAGTAGTTGCAGCCCTAAGAAACTTCAAATCTTCAAGTCGAGAGGAAGTGTGTGCTTTCTCGCCCCTGCCTCTTATGTGTATTTATACTACGGTGTAAGTCATTATTTGGTACCTATCATTTTATACATTGCAGTTCTTTCTAAATACAAAAAGAGATTCCTTTCAATTAAGTGCTTTATTTTAGAGTGTCGCTTACAGACTCAAACACATGGAAGACTTTTACCACGTCATCAGAAGGATACATGAACTGGTTTTGTAAAGTTGTGCTAGGATGGGGAAAGTTAAATGGAAGTTGTACTCTGTAGTGGAGCTCCTCTGAGGGGGAGCTGGTAGATAATGTTGCTCGTTGGTTTGTGCTGCATGTGTGTGTACGAGCGTGTTTTTTAAAACTATGCTTCAAGTCTGTGCTGTCGCCTTTGACGGACAGACATGCTGTATTTACAGTGCTGGTGATTATCGTACTACTTTCCCCCATTTTGTCTGTGAAAATACTTGATATTACTTAATATTATTAATCTTATTCATTATTCTGCAGTCCTTTTTTATGGGCTAATGTTTTCTATCTGTGGTGATGTGTAACATTAATAACTCATTTGAATAATAAAATGAAGACTTCTTAACTGAGGTTTCATCTTGTGTTACTTGAGGGTCAATGCCGGAGCAGCTTTTACTGCAGCTCTAATGAAAAGGATATGTTTCATTGATTCTTGGGTTATGAGTACTTTCATGATCATTCATACTGTACACTCAAACATTGACACACCACACACACACACGCATGAGCACACACAGCCAGACAGATACAGCACATTTGCAACATTTGCTCCTTTTGTGTGGGCGAGTGTCAGGTTTCCATAATGAATACTGCTGAAATACTGGTCAGTCCCAAATGACCTGCAGGGATACTGAGTGTGTGTGTGTGTGTGTGTGTGTGTGTGTGTGTGTGTGTGTGTGTGTGTGTGTGTGTGTGTGTGTGTGTGTGTGTGTGTGTGTGTGTGTGTGTGTGTGTGTGTGTGTGTGTGTGTGTGTGTGTGTGTGTGTGTGTGTGTGTGTGTGTGTGTGTGTGTGTGTGTGTGTGTGTGCAGCCTAGCATTACTATACTTGTGGGGACCTAAATCTGTTTACATAGTCACGTGTGGGGACTCGCCTCCCTCATGGGGACAAATTGTAGGTCCCCATGAGGGGAATCATTCATTTTAGGGTGAAGACTTGGTTAGGTTTAGGGTTAGGTTTGTGTAAGGGCCACCGGATCTCCCCATGTCGCCCGACGACTTCATGGTTATACAGAGATCCAAGGAAAGGTACTAGAGGACGTGTCGGCTCATGCCCTAGCTTAGCATCATGGTGTAAAGTAGATAAGGTACATGAAGTTTGAAATACAGAGAGTAAGGTTAAGGGTTAGGGTTAGGCATGTGTTGGTTATGGTTAAGGTTAGGATAAGTCTCCAGGAAATGCATGTAAGTCAATGTAATGTCTCCTGAAGTGATGTATACATGGTATGTGTGTGTGTGTGTACATTTTGATTTTTTTGTGTTGTTGTACTCATTTATTGGGAGTATGTATTCATTTTCATAATAATAACGATAATAGAGGTATTATTAATAAGATGGATTTGTGTTTGAGCATGTGCACTAACTGTGTTTTTTGTTAAATTTAAAATAACTTATTTCATATTCTGCCAGTTGTTTTTTTCTGATATTAACTGTAGCATGATTCACATGCTTTAGGCCCGGGTGGATGATTATCAGATAGAAGGTAGGGTTTGTATGTATGTGTATAAAAGTAGTATGTGGTCCAGATGTATTCAGGTTATGTGTCCATTCAGATATGTGTCAGATTTGTGCGTTTTTATTTCTGTATTCTTGTTTGTTTCGGCATGTTTGCATGTGTGTGTGTCCGGGCTTTGGAGCATTGAGCTGTGTGATGAGGCCGTACAGGCAGCGGAGGTGCAGATGGTGTACTGATGCCTGAGGACAGTCAGCCTGTCCATGACTCACACTCAGCAAGGCAGCATCTCTCTGTCTTCCTCTCGCTCTGTCTCTCTTTTACTCTCTCCCTTTGGTGGCCCAGAAAGTGAGTACAAGTAAGGATTTGTGTGTGACTGCAGGAGGAAACAGAAAATGTGATTTTAGGCATGACTCTATTTTTGCTGCCGTGTGTGTGTGCGTGTGTGGGTGTGCGGTGAGAGTGGCTGTCCAGGGGAAGCTGCTGACACTCTTTTCAGGACTGATTTACCACTGCAGAACAGCACAAAAGCCTATTGTCCGTATATTCACTTTTATCTTTGTCGCTCACTGTCATTCTACCTACTGTCATCTAATCCAGCTCCTCTTGAACCTTTGTCACATGGAGGATTTGGAGCTTTTATCCTGATTTTCCTCCATCTTTGAGTTTCTCGAATAACGGATTCGGCTTTTAAACGGTGGCAGGGATCTTTTTACTGTCACTCTGATCAATATAGGCTGTAATTGTTCTTACATTTCAGATATGGATCCCTTTTTAACATGGAAAGATTGTCATATCCAAAATATCGCCCTCCTGGATATACATTGACTATATTGACATTAGATCTCAGCGTCTAAAGGCTTATTTCAGATAAGGGCCCACGGTTGAGGAAAATCTGTTTAACCAATTCAAAAAAAATCTAAAAGTGATGGTGTCATATTCCTATGGTGTAACGCTTGTTAAAAGTTTCATCCTGGGACCAACTATAAATTACCCTTAGTCCCACAAGGGCTTATTAAACCACATTAGAAATCCTGTCATTTGTCGACCAGCCAGACACAGACACCGAGCTTTTTCGGATCCCAAAAGATAACCAGCCTTAATGTGCCAGCCAGCCGTCTGCCGGCACAGCTGGGAGCTCAGTCTGACATTTCTCTGAGGCGGGCTTCACTGAGTCAGTAGCTGCATTTCCTTGTTTCTACCTAGGGGTCCAAGGCAATGTAAAGACAAAAACATGACCCACAACCTGACAAAGTGGCTTGAAATTAAGAATAACATCCACACCCAGAATGTGCAGGCATTTAGCTGTTGGGAGAAACTATTTCCCTCCATGGAAACAGTCTGGAGTTAAGGATATATGCTAGCTCCCTTTCTCGTTAACCCGCAGGCTACATAGGGTGATAAATCTCCTATACCAAGCTACATGTTACATTGTTTTAGCCCAGCAAGGAGCCTGACGCTTTTATAGGGTTGGCCTCTCACCTCTTAAGACCACTGCTGCGTTATAGGAGCTCGCTTTTCAAGCACACTGATTCATTGGATATTTCTGACATGAACCAGTTTTACTTTCACACCTAAATTAAGACCTAAGCTTTAGGGTTTGGACCACACTAGCTCCACACTTCTTTGAGCTAAATGCTAACGTTATCACACCAAGATGCTCACAACACACTGATTTTAAGCAGCTATAGGCCCAATATTTACTATTTCAGCATCTCTGCATGTGTCAGTAAGCTAACATCTGTTAATACGCACAAAAGACAAAGTACAGGTGAGGCTGATTATAAAGTTAATGTTAGTTTTGCAGTTATTTGCTCATAAACCAAAGTATCTGACGAATCAACATTTTGACCTTTTCATGTCAGTAGATGAAAAGTTAAGGGATCACTAAAGTGTTTGCAATTCATCTTAAGGGGTGCATGAATATCTGTACTGAATTTCATGGCAATCAAGTCAATAACCGGTGACATTTCGCTCCAAACCACAAATGTCAAACTACTGGTGGCGCTACAGGAAAAGTCATAGGATAATCAATGTGAGTACGACTCCATCCTCTAGAGACTATGAATGTCTGTAAGAAATGTCATGCCATCCTGAAATCCTTGTAGTAGTTTACGATATATTTGAGTCTGTAGGACTTAACGGTGCACTGGCCAACAGACTGGCATTGTCATCACTAAAGCCCCTCAGCTAGAAAGGCCAAAGATTCCTGAAACTCAGACATGGCTAAGAGTCTGTAAATAAGACTGTTTTAAAATATTCCTCCAAAGTTGACTTAGCTTAGATGCAAAGCTTTTTTGTGACAGCTTAAAGATACACTCTACAAAGCAGGGAAAGTTTGTAAGTCCCCTCTCTGCTTCCCCAATTATTCTTGATGTGTCTGCCTGGCTGTCTCCTTATGCTTTAACTGAGAAGTGAGGCGATAAAGATGGAGATGGAAACAACATACTCCTGTAACCATTTACCCTACACGCATGAGCGCACACAGTGACACACTTACTTACTAAACCCAGACGTAGAGATTTAAGACAAACACCCTTATACAGACGGACACCAATCACATAAATATTCACACACACTTTCACACACTCGCTCTTACATTTGGCCTCGTGCTTTTCGTCTACATCTAGAGGCAGAGGAGAGGGGATATGGCGCTGTATTTGAGCGTGAGTGCGCTGATGTGGTTTTGGCCTCACATGCATGAGTAAGACTGTACAGTACATGGCTTTGATACCCTACAGGCCTAGCAAAGGGTAACACACTGACACAGTTATCAGACCAGACTAATTGGGTCTGGGACTATGTGTGTATGTGTGTGTAGATGTGGGAGCCTTGGTGCATGCATGTTTTGATGTATGTGTTACCCTTACGTGTATTTACATCAAACCCTATAAACAATTGTCCTTCACCACCCTCTTACATTGTAACCTTCTTAAATGTAAATGTAAGAAATCAAGAGTGTGTGTTTATACATACGTCATGTGCTTGCTTGCTTGCTTGCTTGCTTGTATCATGTCTCTGCATGCTTCTGCCCTGACTGCATATGCCATAAACAACCTCATCTCTCTGCACTGCTTATCTCTATTCCCTTACGTCCTCTCAAATTCATATATATCTCCTGCCAGAAAATGGTGTCATATCTGATAGGGTTTTCTAAAGGAAGCTCTTGGCAGACGATCTTGCAACCGTCTGACCCACTTTCAGTCCTCACATCGCCACAGTTAAGATGCTCAGGGATGTTATGCATTGTACACAAAAAATAAATAAAAGACACACAAACATTTAGCTGCAACGTTGCACAGCAGTCACAAGTGAATAGTACACTTTATCAAAACTGCAACACAGGCATATGTGTACTGTAGCTCCCATACATGTTTCACCATTGCAAATAATCCAGTATAACATTTAAAAAAAGACAATCCCATCATTAATTCAGTCTAAATTAGTGAGCCTACATTTAATGAGTAAATTAAAGTGCTGCGGCAAAAAACTCATCTGTACTTACGCCTATAATCCATCCTATTTCATATCAGCCGTAAGCAGGGGAGCAGAGATAAAGACTGCATCTAAATATATCTGACTGGCTCTAAGTGAGTCTGACTGTTTAGTGGTAGTCATGCTACATCTTGTGTCATACGCCTTGAGTGATGATAAGAGGTGGAAGTAGGAATATTGATATTATAAAGAATGGAGGGAAACTAAATAAAAGCAAAAAATGAGGCCAAGGAGGGAAGGAAGGACCAGAGTAACAAATAAAGGAATCAACAATAAAAAGCCACAGGGACTGAAGAAAGAGATGGGATGAGGAGATGAATGAAAGGGTGGAAGGAACAAAAGAGAATGCATGTGACAGGGAGAGATGTGCATAAGGAATGAAGGTGGAAAAGCTAAAATTGGAATGAAGGAAAAAGAGAATTTGAAATGTGACACAATGGGAAACAAGAGAGAGAGATGACTAACATTGATTAAAGAAAGAGGGGGGGAAGGAAGCTAAAACAGATAAATGAATTGTGGAGATAAAAAGGACCAGTTTAAAGTGACTTCATGGGCGAAAGACAGAAAAGAAAGAGCTGTCAATCCACTGTGTCTCCCAGTTCAGCTTATAAATGGATCACTGGCTTCACCACAATACTCGCTGACCTGCATAACAGATACCAATTAACACAGTGTCACATCTGATCTCCACTGGATCCAACACCAGAAGAGACAGGAGGAGGGGGAGGGGCATAGTGATGGTATGTATGAGAGACAGACAGAAAGACAGATACTGAGAAACAGAGAAGAAGAAATAGGATACACAGGTCCAGTACCATGAGCTGTGTGTGTGTGTGTGTGTGTGTGTGTGTGTGTGTGTGTGTGTGTGTGTGTGTGTGTGTGTGTGTGTGTGTGTGTGTGTGTGTGTGTGTGTGTGTGTGTGTGTGTGTGTGTGTGTGTGTAACTAATGATGCCACTTTATAATGAGGCCAACACATCCATTCACACTCACACATTTCCATTGCATGACCCTCATTATTCCCCTGTGGATTTACAGCTTCAGACTGATGTTCATTTGGGTGCATATTCAAAAGAGCCGGCAGATTAAGAGAACGGTATTTAAAAACGTTTTCAGACAGAGACCAAGCGCTCTTCTTTCATTATTCATGTCTGTTTCAGTGGCGGTATTCTGCCGCCATGGAGAGAGGCACAAAGAGAAGTACAAAATGACACAGGAGGGAGGAATGAAGAGAGGAAGAATGACAAAATGTAGCAAATTAGATGGACACCACGTTAAAGGGTTGGATAGAAGCATTATCTTTTGATGTAGTCGAGTGAAACAGCTCATTACAAACCAGAGCAACAAAAGAAAAGTGCAACAGTTCTCCCACTCACACACCCACGTGCACAGGCACAACAGCACATTACTGCTGAGGAAACAAAACAATCTACAGTAGCCCACAGGTGCGCTATTGACCTTTTTAAAGCATAGAGTGAGAGACACAAACTGATAGACGAAAAAGCAAAAAGAGAATTTTTTTTGGCATTTTTCTGGCCCTGTGCACTGAGGGTATTCCAGGGTGGAGGAAACTCTTTGTACCCCTCCCTCCCTGGCCTCAATCTGCCTTTCAGCTCCCTCCTTCAATACTTTAGTCTCTGCCTCCACTCTCCCTTATCCATTCACTTTCTCAACACACCTCCCCTGCTTTGGATTTACGCCCGCCTCCTCCAAATTCCACTTCCAAGTTATTTTCGTTTTGGGTAATTTTTTTATTCCGCCGATGTTTATTCATGACCGAGGTTCTGAGAGAGAGATAAAACGCCAAGTGCTGAGCTGGCCCCGAGGGCTGTGAGGGCTCCAAGTCAGTCTGCAAACACACATGCGCATACACACTACTGGAACACACAGGCACATGTTTGCAAAAAGACACACACACACATGCTAACCTTCCTGCAAACAAACACATGTGTTCAGCTTTTCCTCACATACAAACGGAGGTGTTTTGTCTGTGAAACATCACTATCATTTTCAGAATAAGACTCAGCCGGCTGCCTCCCTTTCTGTTTGTCAAGGAGAAAATCATTGTCTTTTTGAGATGCCTGTACCAAAATATGCCTGACCCTCATCTGTCAGCAGTGTTTATCATGATGTCATGACACAAGAAGGGAGCCTGCGTTTCTCTTCCAAACCCACCCCCTCCTAAGTGTAGTTTTATTTGTCTGTTGTCTACTTAGGGATTCTGTGTATGCAAACGTGCGCGAGTGTGTAGACGGATTTGCAGTTCAAATGGCCAGAGGGGAAGAGAGATGAGAGACGTGATGTGCAAAAAGTGAGCAAGAGACACGGAGAGAATAAGGCGCTTGTCTCTCAGAGTGGATTTAAATCCTTTTCTCCATCACCAGTTCCCAAATCTGCTCAGCTACTTTCCTATTTACACACATGCCAATCTGATTTGTGTGTCCCTTTTCTGCAAATGTTCCATATTTCCAAATTCCTAGATGTCAGGGAAAGCTTGTGTTTGGCATTGGGGTTGCCTGCACATTTCATTATTGAAACTCCCTAAGAAAGAGTAGAATGACTTTAGGTTAAAGGACTAAACCTAGGACCCTAAACCCATGGTTTACTTTTCTCTACAGTGTCAATGATGTATCTAACGTCCATGCCTCATGTTAATAGATAAGGCTATTGATTTCTAATAACCCGGCATGCATTGATTTAATTTAATTAAGTAGCATTTGATGTGATCTGAAAATCTGATGACGCAAATGTAAATGTTAAACTCTTACTGAACAACACCTCAGAGTGTTTATGTGCCTGCCTACTAATGCCTACATACATTTGCAATATTTGCAGAAAAAAACAAATCACCCGCACGCATGAGATTAAGTGTGTGACATAAAACCCTCTCATAATAACTATTAAAAGACTATGTTGATGTAATGTTAGTTTTTGTTTAGGGATATCTAACAGTTAGCAAGCTAATACAACAGTCCTGAAGAAAATCCTCCATACATAAAGATTAAAATGTCCCATGGCACATGTCTTTGTTAACATGAAAAGAAAATCCTCATGGATGTTGAAAAAAAACAACTTCTTAGTCTAACCATCACTTATGCATAAGAAGATTTAAATAATACGATGGGACATGTCTAGAACACGAGCACCCCCTGCTGGGGTCTGGGTGCAGGTGCAACATATTATGGTTTATCTGAGGATGCAGATGTGACAGAATAATTTGGGTCAGACAATAATAGGCGATAGTAAAATCATTTATTTTGGTGCTGTGATTCATTTTGTGTACTTCTGCAGAGAATAAAGGCTCTAACTGAAAAATCACTGCTTCAGGCTGTGATCCATTCAGAGCCTGAGGTTATTTATGTAAAAATAATGGCACCACATCTTTAGAGGTCTTGACATTGAGCCGCTCCACCACTAGATGGAGAAGTGGGGCAGAAACACTGAACGAATTGTCCTTTTTCCCTCTGGCAGGAGGACTGGATTTGATCCCAATTTGGGTCTACGAACATTTCTTCTCTTCTGCAGCCCTGAAGCGGTTCCTTGGACGTCATATGATAAGGCTGGAGGAGAGCCGGACCCATATATCAGTCAACGCGCACACTCTGGGCCCCCTTTATCTCCACAAGGCAGGGAGGCGTATCCTTTCCCCCCTCTCTCTCCCACTCCCCTTCACATATCACTCTCTCTCTCTCTCTCACACACATGCACTAACTAGACTACAACCTGCTTCAGACGACGCCCCACCGCCCCTAAGATTTCCACTGAGGGCACAGCCAGGTCCGTCGTGCGTCTTTTTCGCTCGAGAGGAAGCCATTGGGCTCTTATTATTGTCGGACTGCGCGTTCAGGCTGCCCACGGCATCACCTTGGCAATAACAGGAGGGGTGCCAACCAGAAGAAGACGAAGAAGAGGAGGCGGAGGAGGAGGAGGAGAGGAAGGGGTGGTAGAGTACTCCGAATTGACGCTCAGAAATAAACAAGAAGAGCCCCTGTTTGGAAGACGTCCGTGGCGGGAAGGCATCTGCATCTGAGTAAGTCGTGATTTACTGTACAGTGTGTGTGTTTCCATCAGGGTGACCTGCTTTTTGTGCTTTATCCAGCGGCTGGTTGTGCAATGGCACAATATTTAAGCTTCCAGCCCGGCAGCATCCTTTTAATTCAGGCTGTGGAGATGACTGAGAGGCTCAGGGACAAGGACACAATACAAAAATAAGGGCGATATTGTGAAATCCTTTACTGTAAAGACATTAATATTTACGGTTACAACTCACAAGAGGCGCAGCATCCTCCAAATGGACATGAATGCAAATTAGAAAAGCTTACAATCAAATCACGCGCTGTTTTGGTGGTGAAAAATAGGAGAGAAAAAAGAGCTGCACGATCATGTCATGTCAACAGGCGTTATGGTAATGTCAGAGGCCCGCTATATACTGTACTACTTTGAAGCCATGATTCAGCCGGACGACAGGTGTAACGGGGCGATATGTTTACGCGGAATGCTTTTGATGATACATTATGTAACATCGATCTGTTTGGAGAGGAGAGTGCTTCAGGATGTTTTTATCTCGACGGTGTATTTCCAGTGCTCTGCCATCATGGCATGGTGAAGGGATGCTGTCAAGCTGCAGGCTGTGGAGGGGAGGACAGTTCCAGGGTAGCATATTCTCTGCTTTGTTGTGATGTGAGCAGTCTGCTTTAACATGGCGCGCATGAGCTGAAAAACCCTTGGCCATGACATACTCCTGTCTGGAATTTACACTGTACAGTGGATCAGGGAGGCAGTGGGGTTTTATGAGAGCAGAGAATGGGTCTGTGCATCCCTAAATGGCTCAGCTCAGATGGATTTCAGCTCATGTTGCCACTGAAGTCTGGCTCTTAGGCTTTCTGTTTCTATTCCAGTCTCTGAATAGAACAATATCAGCTGGACCAACTCCTTGGCGTAACTCTGTTTTTGCGATCATGTTTGATCACAGCAGGTGACACCGGACAAAGAGTGTGTTTTTGTTTGGGTTTGTTGTTTCTCTGCTGGGTTTCTGCCCTACAGACGTCACTGTTGTGGATCATTGTTGACAAGACCACACATTTCAAGATGATAGCATTGTTTGTTAACATTTCTGAGATGATTTTTTTGTCTTCGAAGTTTAAACAGGACATGGACTCTTTGTATTATTCATCTTGAGCTACAGTCACACCTGTTACAGCTTTTCCTGAAGCAAGTCATCTCAAGTCCTAAAGGCATGTTTTTGCAAGGTGAAGAAAAGTGCGAGTAATGATTTGTTATGTTTTGGTGTGATGATCAGATCAAAAGGTGTTCAGCACTGGCAACTTGTTGGGCTCTCTGTTGCCTGTCTCACAGGCACAACTATATGTTTATTTTATCTAGCATAAATGCACAAGGTAGGACCCTTAACAAAACACTTTATAGCACCCTTTTCAGGAATCAGTCAATACAAAAAGTTATAGAAATCTCAGCTTTCTATGGATCACAACCTCCACTTATTAGTCTTCACTGTCCAACATTTGGAAAACGTCTCCTTCTTTATTAGAAAAAAATACTAAAATTCAGACCTCTGATCCAAAAATTAAATCATCAAATGAAAAATACTCGTCATACAATTAAGAATCACAATGAAATATTTAATTTAACACTGATAAAGACTACATTGGTGCACGGCCAACCAACTAGATTGAATAGCAATAACAGCACATCTCTGCGCACTGTTTGTTATTTTTATTGTATGAGCGAGGCATGTGTTATCCACCATAGGCCTCAGCCCTGCGGTGTGTGTCTATATCCGGTCTGCTGCTCTGTGTCGTGTCAGCGACTGGCAGTCGAGCTGACAGCCCTTGTCTTGTCCACCCAATCCTCATGCAGCATTATGACTCTGGACAGCCACATTTTTGAGTGTCAGGTTTTGTGTGCCTATATGTCTTTGTGTGTTTGCCTCTGTGCGGCTCTGTGTGTGCGTTTTAGTCTGGATGGCGCGTTTAGGTGTGTTGATAGCTGTCTCTTGACCTGACAGGCTGGACACTGGGATGGATCTGTTTTCACCAATTTAGATTGGAGGAATGGGCTGGTAACCGGAAGGTCATTCATCCTACTGTTGGACTGTCAATAGAAAATGAGGCAAAACATGAACGAGTCACACGCTGTTCTACCAACCAACTACAGTCAAAGTTGCCCTTTAGTGAGCTCTACCCGACATAGTTCTCAGTGAGCAGGAGAAAACTGGTCACATTGAGCCGCTCCTTGGAGTGTAAGTGTGAAACTGTAGCCAAAAAGAGCACACTCACTATCTTCCCCGATAAACACAGTTTGAAGGCCTTTCTTATGACACTGCAGTTGTGTCGCTATCTAATGCTAAAACAACCCCATTCTCCCTCACAGTAGGTCACACTTACTTGTAGCCAGACCTCATTGTGGCTTTAATCAATGCTTTTACAGTAACAATGGATCTAATTACTACTAAGTACCTTGTATTGACAACTCACACATCATTAGCTCCCAACTCTGCAGTTCCCCTCGGCTCTACAGAGCATTTAACTTTCAGCCTACTGTTGAGATTTTTCCAGCGCTCAACTTTACTGTTATGGTATAGTCTCAAAGGGGAGAAACTCCCATAGGCCCATCCCCAAACAGCAAAACAGACAAAGTTAGTGAATAGCTGGTGAACATAGTGGCTTAAGTATTTTCCCTTTAGGAGTTAGTGCGGACCAAAACGGAAATAAAATAATACAGAGTTGTTGAATCAGGTCAGAAACCCATTTCCTTAAGGTCAATGGGGCTCCATATTCGCTGGATGTTTTAAAAAGCAACAGTTTGCAAACAAATTCATCATCATATCAACTTACCGTAGAAGGTGAAAGTCTGTCAGTGTTGTGCTTACAGCTTGTTCTCACTGCCAACACTGCAGGTGAATGAAAATGCCGGGAAGTTAAAGGTAACCATAAGTGATTTTGCTTTTAACTGAGCACTACCGCCGCTAATGGAGAACTGCAATTGTCTTGCCTTTGTGGAAGTGGAAGAGCTTGTTGGATCAAGAAAAAGGCGTCATCCTGCCCTGGGCGAGTAACCCTAGAGTGATAGATATTGCTAATCATCCTTAATGACCTTGCTGTCATTTAGAGACCATTTTTGAAGTGGTTATAAAATCACATCAGTATAGTAGGCGAGGAAAATGAATGTCATGCTCTAGAGAAGCCATTATAGTTACTGTGTTATGGAAATATGGTGTTGTAGGGACAGAGAGGAAGTGGAAGTGAAAGCTTACTCAGCAGGCGCACAGATAAGGAGTAGAAACAACTGGGCGGATAGTAACGATGTGAGATATCTTTGATAATGTGGTGCATTCCACCTTGCCCTTTCAGCCTCACACTTTTTCTTGTCTTTCTATGAATCTGTGCCTCCTCTTTTACTCTTGGATAGTCACTTTTTCTTCACACTATCTCTCATTACTAGCCCCTCTCCTTGCTGCTTTGTCATGACAGATAAGGCAAGGGAGGATTTGTTTTTTGTCTCTCTCTTCCCAGCAGATAGTCTGTCTTCTTATAAACTGTCATTTTTAGCCTCCAAGTCATTTTAATCTCAGAGGAAAAAGCTCAGCGGTGTGTGTATTTTAATGTGTGTGTGTGCATGTGTTTTGCTCCCCTCCTGAAACACACGCACATCCTCTCATATGACGATCATCAGTGTTGTTGCAAAGATTATATCAAAAGCACTATTGATAACTGCACTGTCGATGAACTTGAAACACACACACACACTCACACACTCACATCTGGTTTAAGGGCAAGGAACAGAATGAATAGGTCTTGTGCCCTCATAAATGAAGCATAGTATTTTGTATTATCCCAGAAGGGATATTGGACTAACATACTTTGCATAAACAATTCCTAAGTTTCTCGAGGGCCTTAAGTGGGATTGGGATCTTGCCATAAGGGAAGGCTTCCATTTGGCCTAATGGTTCCTGTGTTAACATTGAGAGGCTGCTCCAATAATGCAAGGCCATATAGACTTCCTATATCCGGGTATATAGAGTATGCTGATTGACCACAGAGGAGACACTCCACTATAGAATTGCTGTCAGCAGGTCAGTGCTTTGTTTGTGGAAAAATGCAGACTAAGGAAAAGGCCAACATTGAAAACCACCATCAGCTGATTGATTTGTAATGTGCTGTCGGGACATTCGGTACTCATACAAGAATTTGTATTTCCATGCCTATACATACTCTTGAATTAAATCATGTGAGAAAACTCATACAAGGGACACATTGTTGCTTCAGTTTGCTTTGCTTATTCTGCCCTTATGAAACTCCTCTTAGCAACATGTGACTTTGCTCCACTTGTCCACCACATGCCATCAAAATGTCCCACCTGTCTCAGTGACTTCACTCCACCACCCAGCCCCTTTCCTGCCACTCCCATCACCTGACCTTCCCAATCCAATTGCTCACCTGTTCCCAATTTCCTTCCTAAGTCTTGCATATCCACCCACATTTTGCCAGATTGTCTAGTTTCGTCCACCCATAGTTTTACATAGCTTTTTTCTGCCATCCTGATTTGTTTAGAAATGATTCTCGCCACACCCAGTTTGACGAGTTTGCCTGCCTTGAAGGTTTTCACCCATTCCCGTCTTTGATTGAAGTAAATGTTAACTTTTATGTCCACGTGTGTGTGCCGTGCTTTTGGGTTAAGGCTTGCTGTTATTTGTGAGCCGTTACACCCAGTTGCGTTATTGTGTAGCTGTGTCGTGAGAAGCATCAGTGGAGATTGACCCTTTTTCTTGAGCACATCCAAGCCCTTTATATCTCATGATTCTAAATTGTTGAGCTCTCCTGGGAAATAATCCGTATCTATAATCTCTTGTTTGTTCTCTTTTAGCAACTTTATGATGTTGCTATATACAACTAAATATAACAATCCTTATATTTATTATAGCGCTTTATCAATGACTCTCAAAGCGTCTACTGTGGACAATACCCACATGAGCAAATTCGGGTGAAGTGTCTTGCCCAAGGACACAACGGCCTG